AAAATAATTGTACAGGATAATATGAAAGAACTTACCATCATCTGGCTTTTTTACAAAGGTCACTCCATTCTCTTCAAACAGCTTGCAGGCAGCATAGACATCCGGGACAGCAATTCCAATATGGCCTATTTTAAGATACATTTTTAGGTTAATAATGTAATTTATCCAATGTTATTTATCTTCTTTTATCCATGACTCCATTTGCACACATTTTCCATTGGGCTGTCCAATCAATGGGCTCTATGCACGGCGGTATTTCCGGTGAAGGTCTAAGGATGCTCAATAACTTCCGCTGATCGTAGAGTCCAATGCAATAGCGAGAATTTACATTGAATTTTATACTCCATGGTTATACTAAAGAAACGTTAGTCACAAAAACAGATAAAATAGACATCCCTCGTTGTGTTTATGCTTCTTTTTAAAATTATATTAAATAAACATAACTATATATAAAATTACATCTAAACGTATGAAAGTTCCGTTTCAAAGACGGGAGGACAGTAAACTTTGAAGACTCTGCCATAATCCCGTTTTCCTCGGTTTTCCTCCGCTTTAATCTCCCCAACCGGAAACAGACGAGCATCCTTAGGTCAAATGCGAAACTTATGCGTGCATATAGCCCATTAATCGTATCTAACATAAGTTTATGTTTATATAATTTATATGTAAACACACACACACACACACACATAGTTGCTGTCAGAATTAATGGCACCCCTAGTAAATACGATCAAAAATGGCTGTAAAAAATAAATATGCATTGTTTATCCTTTTGAAAAATGTGCAAAATCTAACCTTTAAAACTGACATATGTATATATAGTCCAGCCCGACTTCAATCACAGTCGATAGTATGACAGGGAGAAATTGTGTTTTGCATGTTATATTCACCGTAGCCTCTTGGGTCTGAGTTCCCGTTGTGGTAAGATATGCTGTCATCTGTCTCTGAACCCCAGTTACTGATAAAAAGAGAAAAGAGAAATACAGAATAGCACATGAAACTGCTTCACACTTCTGATGACAGGATCTAAGGTCGATAACCTTACGGCACACAGAGGGATAATCACAGAAGAGTGCACCTCGGCCCAGCAAATGGTTTGTCGGATGTGTGTACTACTAACACATATTAAAATCTCACATTTTCATAGTATTCGTAGCACGTTAACACGTGTCTTATGAGTGTTCTCATCGTTCTTCAGGTCTCATTTTGTGTGAGCACAATTGCTTTTTAATTTGTTTTATTGGTCATGTGTTTTTTTTGTCATGTTTGGTATGAGCACATGGCTTGTGCTTGTCATGTGTTTGTTGTGCCATATGTGCTTTCCTGTCATTGTTTCGACTCCCATCTTGTTTCCTGATTATTAGTTATTTTGCCCCACCTGTCCTCCCAATTTATTCCCCTTGTTTGTTTTTTGTTATCAATAAAATAAAGCCCATCAACTCTGCATCGAGTCCTCGCTCTTTTCACCATCCCCACACCTGACAGTCGAGTTTTAAAAAAGAAGAAGAAGAAAAAAGAGCTTCCCCTCTTTGAAAGACCAGCAGCCGCCACTGGTTAACTTAATAAAGCTGGCTGTGTGACTATAAGGAATAAGTACGTCAAATTGTACATCCGTACGCAAGTTTAAGGGACTCCTCTTTAGCTAATGTCCCATGCCAGTGATTATCCCTTCGTGTGCCAAAGGTCATGAACCCTGCTCTACATTTTTCAGGTATTATCCCACATACTGTAAAGGCCTATTCACACTGCACCGACAAACGGAAACTGAAACCTGTTTTCGGATCAGTGTGTAAGCGTTCATTCTAGGAATGTCTGAGAAGTGACGTACTGTAATCTGGTGACTGTGAATTTGCCGATAAGGACTCTCTACTCAATGTAGACGTTAGTGGTAGAGCTGTATGGACTTTTAAATGTCTGATGCTGAAGGTTTTAAATATCTGAACTTACTGTGTGAGCTCTATAGTGGCTCTGCGGGAGAACGTCCAGGCTGTCCTCTCCTTCACATCTGCAGGGACTTCTTTCTTATCCTCATAACCCAGAAAGTAGAGGGTGAATCGCATGGAGGGAAAATCAAACTTCTGTAACAGCCTATAATAAAACATTCGGATTTAAAAATATTTCATTGCAAAGGTCAGCAATTAAAGCCCATTCACATTATTATTGCAATTGATTATAAGCCAAAATTAAAACTACATGCATAACACATTTGGATATTATAAAGTAATGGCCTGGTTTCACAGACCAGGGGTAGATTAAGCCAGGATTAACCCTGGACATTTAAACAGCTTTTATAAACGTTTCTTAGATAAAAGACAAAACAAAGCACATGTTTTAAGATATATCAATGCAAGTGGCTTTCAGTTAAAACCACTTAAACATGCACACGACAAGCCTAAGCCTTGTTTGTGAAACCAGGCAAATGAAAACTACAGTAAATCAAGACTGAACTCACATTCACAGAGAAAAAGTTCAGTGCTGAGAGATGCAATCTGTTACACTAGTGAACTCACGTCATTCCAAGGATGCGTGTGTAGAAATCTAGGGATTTTACTGGATCCTTAACCCTCAGCATTGTCTGCTGCATCATGAAGTCCTAAAGCAGAGGCATGAATAACTTTTGGTCAGAAGAACATCATTTACAAGATGGATCAGGTGAGGAAAATGATCAACAGTGGCAACAAAAAGACCATTTATGAGGAAAAAACATTTTTATTAGTGGTCTCAGACCTTTGAGTTACACTGTATCAATAATAATAATAAAAAAAAATATATATATATTAATATTAACCATTAATGTCAATGTCATTATCTAAGCATGGACCCTTTTCACATATTGTGAAGAGGCGTTTAAAGGTCATCACCATCATAAATCCTAGAAAATTTATATATAATTTTTGTAAATGTACATTTATAACACTGTACTTTGTATTACATTTCCTTTGCATCAAATGACAAAAAAAAAACCTAGTTAACGTAGTGTGAAGGTGTTTGTGTTTCTAATACAGCGGCTGTGGAAGTGACGGTAAATTTGACATCTTCATCTCTTCCGACTGCCGTTATCAATCTATTTCTATATATTTTCCCCCTTTTTGAAAGTTTAGAAAACACTAGTTGGATTAGGGTTTAGTTACTCTTTAATGCGTTTTTCTTTTGCTATTTGAGAAAATGATATATTTTAACATGTATTCATCACAAAACATATTTAATGATGTAGTCTTTCATTAACTGCTATATAAAGAAGTTGACCCAACTACGACAACTTCCGCTTCTGAGAAACCCATCATTTTGTAATATCGTGCAGCTCAGCTCAAAAACAGAAGAGCAGTTTATTGTTTTGTAAATGCATGAAACATCAGTTTAGGAATCTCTGGTAAATGTTTGCAGTGTGGATGTGCTGTTAAGAATTATTATTCATCCCTCTGGTATAGGTGTTATTTTAGCATCTCTTTCTCTTTGGTTAAGATTGTTTATGACATGACTTTTCAAAGAATGTACACAAAGTGTGTTACAATATAATTCCCTGATATTCCCTAAAATTTGTGTCCTATGGTAAAATCTGTCTGCTTGCACTGCTCTGTATGACACTCTAGGGGTGTGAAATGTCAAAGGTCATCATAGCTTATGAGAGTTGTTAATGCTTCCTTTTGTAGTGAAGCACTTTGTGATTTTCATCTGAGAAAAGTGCTATACAAATAAATTTTACTTACTTACTTATAGCAACTTTAAGTTCCTTAAAATTAACTAAAATAGGCTTGATTCTGACTGTAATGCAGATTGATATGTTACTAAGATATTAGTAACATACAGATTGTTACTAACATATCAATCTGCATTCCACACAGAATCAAGTCTATTTTTTAATTGCATTTCCACATGACTGAGCAATAAGACAGCTTACGCGTACACAACTTAATCAAAATTAGTTGAGTAACAAACAAAAAGGCGGATAAATAACTAATTCCTGCTGTCCTGGAGTGGTTTGAGTTATAAAGGAGAACGGAAATGAGCGAAGAGATTCGTGTGTGATTGAAAGGTCTCTAGTTCTGGACTCAAATGAGCGTCTTACTTTAGTGATGGGGTTTCCGTCTTTACACGCAGCGGCGGCTGCTTCGTTCGTCAGCCCTTGGTCGGTCATTTTTAGGCGTGTTTCGGCTTGATGTTCGGTGGCTTGCAGCTGACAGTCCGGCGGAAAGATCCACGCAGGGGGCGTGGCTATAGCGTGCAACGTTGATAGCGTGACGTAACTATGGGAGGAGCCATGAAATGACTGAGATGCTGTAGTTTCCCTTTCCTTCCTGCAGAGGGAGACACATTTCTCGGTAGTAAAAGTGTGTTTACATTATTGTTTGTATGTGTTGTCAAGACAAATTGAGTGTTCACTTATCTTCCCATCAACTTAATAAATTATAATAAGTATAGACCATTTCACAAGATGTAAACAACACTGGTCCAGTAGCACTTCCTGTTTCAGTTTGTAACTGTTTTCTTTATTTCACATGTAAAGAAAACATCTTAAAGATGTTTGTTTAACTTTTTGATTCAGTTTTAAATGTTCCGTTGGTTGTATTTTATCCCAGCTTTTATGTAGTGTTAAAAAACTGAAACAGGAAGTGCTTCTGGACCAGTGTTGTTTACATCTTGTGAAATGGTCTATAGGAGGAAAAATTACAGAAAGAAAATGGTTCAGAGAAACATGGGGGGCTATAAATGAATGTGATGGAGACTGTGGCTCAAAACATTTAAGATGACAAGTAAACCACATCCTGTGTAACTTCCGAGTGAACTTATAGTTACTTTGAGTTCTGTGTGCAAACTAAAAATGTGTATATTCCAGAAAGTATATTCCAACTCATTGACACAGGTAAAAGACATATAAGGCGTGTGTGTGTGTGTGTGTGTGTGTGTAAGAGTGCAGATACTCAATGCTTAATTTTAGGATGAAAATACAGCAACTCATGAGCTTAACTTTAAAAAGTGCATCTATTTTCCATTTACTCTTGATGAAATAAAACGTCCATTGCAATAAATGGTATTGAGTGGCTTATTACTTTAATAACAACGATGATGAGGTAGCAATTAAATCAATAAAAATGCAAATGGTAATAATATTAGAACATTTGGAAACTGATGAGTTTATGCGATTGTCTCACACACAGCATGGCCAATCTTTTAGATTGCCGCCATAACAAGGATTAATACTGTTTAATAATTGATCATTTAAAAAAAAAAACTCAAGTATATAATGAAAGGAGATGGAGCTCAGGTAGATTAGTGGGTAGGGTGGTTTTTTTTATTTTGAATTTAACAGTTTTAAATATAACATCTTACAAATACATATTGCTGACTGTTTGTAGCCTACATATCTTAATGCAAACTATTCCCAACGTGCTTAAAAATAAAATCTTAGAATATAATTTTTTGATTGACCTGCACAAAATGGGACTTGTAGAGATGAACTTTGTCTTGCAGTGATTATACATTTTGAGTGTTTTGTATTTACACGCAAACCTTTGTTTTTCTTGAAATGTGGGTTTGAAAAGAGTTTGCAGGCCATATCTAAAGAAAAGCAACTAATATAATGGAAAATGATTCGAGAAATAATGTGAGAAAACAGAACAAGATGTAAGTTTGGAGCAGATTCACAGTGCATGTAGCTATTGCCGATGTGAGTGTGGATGCTATCTCCAGATAGTTCTTACCATGAGTAAATATTACGGCATCATCTTTACATGTACATTTATATGCATGAATGTACATCATATCAACTTTTGTCTGAATGCAGTTTACGATGCATATTTAAGGTGTATTTATAAGGGAAAGTTTTTCCACAGTCTGGACAGGAGAAAGGCCTCTCTCCCGTGTGAATCCGCGTGTGTTTCTGCAGTGTCGAGCGCCGTGCGAATCCACTTCCACACACGGGGCAACAGAACTGTTTTTCAGAATGAGAATCGCTGTGGTGGCGTTTAAGATTGGTTTGACTGAAGAACGTCTTGTCGCAGTACGCGCAGGCGAACGGCCTCTCGCCTCTGTGTTTGTATAAATGACTTTGGAGTGCGGTGGAGCAGGTAAACGTCTTCGCACACTGATCGCAACTGAAGCTCTTCACAATCTTTCGTTTTTCACCCGTATGGACGGTGAGGTGCATTTTAAGCCATTCTGCACACCGAAACCCTCTCCCACAGAGTTCACAGGTGTACGGCGCTTCTCCCGTGTGTATTCGCATGTGACGCGCCAGGTTTGGGCGCCGCCGAAACTCCATGCCACACAATTTACAGCTGAATTTTTTACCAGGGGTCTCTGATGAACTCTCCCATTCAGTATTAGACTCTTCCTTTTTGATCACAGTCTTCATATCGATGCAGTCGGGACAACGAGAGAAACAGCAGCTACTAGAAAAACAGATTGAGAAATAAAACACTCATAATTATACCTTAGTTGTATATAGGCTAACTCAAAGTAGCAAGAAAGAATGTAGTATTGTTCGGCATGTACAGTGAGGGAATTCACCTATTCTAAAACTATTCTTTGATTTTGCATCTAATCTAATAGCATTTTGAAGAGTAACTTATTTTTTGTTAAAAAATGGTAACTGTTATACAGTGTCCTTGTTACACGTTGTTACTGTAGTAATAACAATAAAGAGCAATGAAAACCTCCTCAGGTTCCCAAACTGGGGTGCGCTATGGCAAGCCGTTTTAACTTTTAATCAAATCCAGGATAAGAATTCTTGATCTCAACAATTCAATTTTCACTAGTTAAAATAATAGTTATTGATATTAGGAATTAGATTTCTTCTAGTAACAATGGCAATTTTTGATATCAGGAATTACATTTCAACTAGTAAAAATATTCATTCTTGATATCAACAATTCAATTTTAACTAGTATAAACTATAATTCTAGATATCAACAATTGAAATTGAACTAGTAAAAATTATAATTGTTGATATCTGTAATTGTATTTTCACTAGTGAAATAGGCCGCCATTCAAAACCAATTGTTGATATCAAGAATTCATATCCTGGAAATGAATAAAAGTTAAAGCGGCTTGCCATAGGTGCGCAGATTGACCACCGGGGGTGCGCGAGAGAATGTTTGTAACATAGACAGTATAAGAAGGGGTTTGTAATGGAGGGAAATATATATTTTTTTGTCTCTTTTATTTTATTTTTATTTTTTTTACGTAATTAAAACATACATGTATTGTCCTATAAAACATCGACAAAGACTAGATGCCGAGAATGATTCGAGAGTAAAACTGTCATCTATTAACCTGAATTTTGATGATCTGTGTGCAAACTCACCCATTTCTAATCTAATTTTAGTATTTAGTTAGCAATTAAAAATGTGAAGTTTAACCAGAGGTGTTGGGGGTTCTTGACGGTTATCAAACACCGGAAAGGAGTGCATGCTGCAAAAAGTTTGGGAACCACAAGTGCATGTTAACAAAGGAAACGTAGGGTATGTTATTGTGTAACGATCCGTTGCAGGTTTTATAACCTCATATTATTAGGCCTATCTAAAAAAAAAAAAAAAAAAAAAAATCAACCTAGACTTTTCATTCCAAGTTAATACAGTTGTCAAATCACGTAAATATTTTAATAAACGCCTATAAAGACGGTTTAAATCTTTCAATATAGTTTCTTTCAGGCACAACAACTAACTGCAATCTGTCACACGTCAAAACGGTATTTATTGTTTCGTGTCATCCGCAACACGCTTCAATTTCGCGATAAAAGTTACAAAATATGATAGCTGGCATTTGTTTCATATCAGTAGCAAAGCTTATTTCGATTCGTGGATGATGGCAGGCTTGCTTATAATCGTTGAAGAAGTCTACTCACGAAACAACGAGAAACATCATTGACTACATCGATTTAATCGATATTGTCCACCCAGCCCTATTTTCCATTACACACGTATTCATATTTTATATGAAAGTTAATACTAAAGTTAAATCTGAAAACCACTGGGCAATTATTTTAATCATAAAGCACTTACTTGCAATGTTCTTGTTCAAAGGCACACATGCGCTGAGTCTGAACCAGAAATGTGCAACACTGCAACTACAACTTTTTTCTCTCGTCCTATATTCATTCTTAATTCACTTCTCGGTTGGGAGTCACTGCTGCCCCCCGCCTGTCACCAAAAGATGCTAAATATATTGCCCAGTAAATTGAGTTAAATGTAACTTTGAGATTAGACGTAATTTTATAAATAAAGTGTTTTAACAGAGATCAGGTTATGATGGAAATTAATCATATTCATTCATAGAGCAGTGCTTATACAGTAGTAAAAGTCTTAGGCACGTTAGTATTTTTACCATAAAAATATATGTGAATCTTTAGCTGTAATGTCTCAGTAGGAAATATGAGTTTACATTTTCAAAAATTAATTTTGTCATTAATTGATTTTGTGACAGTGTCAGGCTCCTTGAGCATACAAAAATATCACTGGACTATAAAGACATACACTACAGCAAAAGATATAAATAATAGGCTTAAAAATATTTTTTGGGTGAAAATACAAACGTGCCCAAGGCTTTGTACAATTTATATATGCATAACTTGAAAAAAGTAAGAAATGTACAGAAACTAAAAAGGAAATCATGTGAAGTCAAGCTCTTTATTGGCACTAGACAAAATATCAATACAAGGGATGTGGCTTAAAACAGTAGAAAAATAAAATAAATCAAACTCATGTGATGCATGAATGTGCATTACGTCAACTTTCAACTGAGTGACGTCGTTTACGATGCATATTCATGGTATATTCATTACGGAAAGTCTTTCTACAGTCTGGACAGGAGAAAGGCCTCTTTCCCATGTGAATCCGCGTGTGTTTCTGCAGTGAAAAAAGGCGTGAGAATCCACTTCCACACACGGGGCAACAAAATTGTTTGCTGTCAGAATGAGACTCGATCTGGTGGCGTTTAAGATTGGTTTGACTGAAGAACGTCTTGTCGCAGTGCACGCAGGTGAACGGCCTCTCGCCTCTGTGTTTGTATAAATGACTTTGGAGTGCAGTGGAGCCAGTAAACATCTTCCCACACTGATCGCAACTGAACCTCTTGATGCTTTTTCGTTTGTTGCCCGTGTGGACGCTGCTGTGCAGTACAAGCCAGTCTTTACGTCGAAAGCCCCTTCCACAGAGTTCACAGGTGTACGGTGCTTCTCCCGTGTGTATTCGCATGTGACGCACCAGGCTTATGCTCTGGCGATACTCCATGCCACACAATTTACAGCTGAATTTTTCACTACAAGTCTTTTTGCCATTTGAAAAGTGGGAGATGGATGGTTCAGCTTCTGTTTCAGTATCTGAAGAACTTCCAACGGGCGCCTGAAAACTTCTCACTGTATATTTCAGCCGTTGGCAATAGCGCACAGGTGATCCTCCTTCTATTTTGCTCAGCACTAAAGTTTCCATACTGTCCTTAGACGACTCGGCTCTCGAAACTCCAAGAAAATCCTCAGAAGGCTTCATTTCAATGCAGTCAGGACTCCAGCCATCAACTAGGGAAATAGAGATGTAAATATTCAGATTTACTCCTTAACTGTACTCATTAAACACAAATGAATGAATTATACAATAACCTCATAAGTTATATGGACAATTACCCCACACTTCAAATATGAAGGCTGTTGCATTAGAAGAAACGTAGTCTTCAATGAGAATAAGAGGAATTGAGCATACGTGTATATATTAGGAAGATATTATGCACAAACAAGATAACAACAGGAAAGAGTCAACAGATGGAAGTCAGTGAACCAATAACAGAACTTGTTTTCAAGATGCAAGAATATTAATGTTGTTTAGCATGGGAGTTTTCGGCTATAAGAACTACAGACTACTTTAAGTAAACTGAGGAAAGGAAAACTTTGTTGTGCATGAGTCTTCATTTTATATACATGTGTTAAGTTCACTTACCATATTATATGGGGACAGTCCATAGACATTTGGTACCTAACGTTACCTGTCACAGAAAACTTTCTGCATTTTATCATTTTCAAAAAAAAAAAAAAAAAAAAAAAACAATTTCGTGTGATTTTAAAGCTGTTTTCCTAATGGGGACAAAAAAATGTTAACGGTAAGACTTTCCTTGCGAGGACATTTAATAAAGTAGGGAGAGACGCTAAGAGTTTGTAATTATTTGTAATCTCATCACATATAGACTCAGAAACCTACCATCAAACAATTTTAAACGTTAATAACAAAGCACTTACTTGCAAACCGGCGATATTTATTTTAATTCCAATGAATGTAACATTCTTTAGTCCATTTACAACTTTCTCGAGCAAGCTTTCTTCTTCTTTAAAGCACGGTTGGAAAGCATGACTAGTCACACAGCACTGCCCCCCTCTGCTTTTAGGAGGAACAGCACATTCATTTGCCAGCAGGGACCTTGGCTTGGAAGGTCCATCTATTTTGTTGCTCTTGCTATTTGCAACTCTATTACAGCACCATTGATCCCAATATGTTGATGAGACAATGAATTATTAGTACAAGTTCACGTTTGTTCTGTTTATTGCCGATGTGCAGTGCCTCGACCTTGAAGGGGAAGATATTGCAGGAGTTGTGAATGAATGTGACCATGCCAAAGGAACAGTCTCAACAGCCACCCAGATAAGAAGTGATCCCGATAGCTGCTAATGAATGAGAACTTAATGTGTCATGTATATCATCTTTAAATAACCACATTTTAACTTCACATGTATAGATTAGCCTACCTGCACTAAGCGAAAACTCGACATGAAATCAATCTGTCATTTACCTGTATTGGTTTTTCTGTGTTATAAGACAGTTTGCAGCTGGATTATCATTTTCTACGGCCTTTGGAAGGGTGGAGAACTCTCTGGTCTCCATTAGACATTTTATTCTCTCTTTATGGGGTCAATGTGTTCCCCAACACTAACAGGCGACTCTGTGTAAATCCTTTGGTGTTCTTGTTCTGTAAAAAAAGAAAAGAAAAGTGGGATATTTTTAAGACCATCAATCATAAAGGCATTGAAAGTAGTTCATGTAAATTAAATTGAATGAATATATGAAATAAAATGAGGTTGTGGTGGCTTTATAAAGGTCACATAACTGTTATCACCAATGACGAGAATGTTCATTTGAGTATTTTCCCCACTCATCCTCCTGTATGTGGAGTTCATCAAACATGACCGGGGTATACGCTAATTCTCTTTCACATCCTGTTTTCTTTTTTCTCTCTGGGGAACTCAAACATTCCTATTTACGTAATCACGAAAGTGTCCATAAATTAAACCCCTGAATCCCTGAGTAAATTTAGCCTACTGCTTCCTCCTGTGTCGTGGTTTACAAAGCAGATGCAGAGAGTTGATCCTGTTGCTCGATAAATAGGCCTATGGTTTTATTGATGTATTGAAATTATGTGTAAGAGATCTGCATCAACAAAATAAGGTAAATTATAAGAAGTGTAGGAGGAAAGAGTATAAGAAGTTAAGGCTAAATTTCAGGATTAAAATACAGAAACACAAATGCTTAACTTTACATTAAGGCCTAATCTCCATTAACTTGATGTTCATACATTTATGTTTGAAATTCTACATTGCTTTTCTTGAAATATGATGAGAATGAGATCTTGACAGACCTTATCTAAAGAATACTTTTTTGGGGGGAATAACATGACAACACATGGGTTGCCAACTGTCCCGAAGCCGTCCCGTGTTCTGGCCCTAATTGTCCCGTACAGGACCTCCCTTTGTCCCAGTTAAATAGACTGCTACACTGATAAGCGCTGACTGATAACAGACACACACACGACACTGTCAACATTATTATTTTGGGACAAACCATTGTTTGATTCGCAAATTAGTTTTGGTGAATTCAAACAATGTGATTATTGTTCACAAGTCTAGCATCAGACACGCAAGAAAACACTATTGGGGGGTTAATATGCTGATGTGATTCGCTGCCCAAGAAACTAGATCTCATAAGGTATTATTGTTTTGTTTTGTTTTTTAGTCAGGATTCTTTGATGAATAGGTTCAAAGTAGATTAATCTGAAATAAAAAAGCTTTTGTAACATTATAAATGTCTTTACGGTTACTTTTGATTACCTAGCTTAATGTGTCCTTGCTCAAAAGTAGCCTAGGCTACTTTCTTTCATTTAAATTAAATATAGCTATAATCTTACAAAAGCTTTTTATTTCCGATAAATGGTATTATTTAGAACTTTGTTTAATGTGACTTTTTTTCTGTTACCTTAAAATTCGTTTTAGAATTAAATTGTAGGCTACATATATCTAGGTTAACCAAAAACCGGTTTATGTCTGAGAACCTATTATTAAACACACACGAACCTGAAATGACATATACTGTATGATACAGCAGGCATATGTTGAGTGTCCCTTATTTTCATGTAGCTAAAGAAGCACGATTGTCCCGCATTTTTTCTTTTCTGAACTCAAATGTCGTAAAGCTGAAACATTTTTTTAATTCATAGTGCTCACGTAGCCTATACTATAACTTTAATTTTTTCCCATGATTTATTATTTAAGCAACTGAGAAAACCTAATAAATGCTCTTTATTGGCATTGTGCATGAAATCATAAATTAAATCATAATTATCATAAATTCATGTGACAGCCTATGCATGATTGTGCATCACATCAACTTTTGTCTGAATGCATTTTACGATGCATATCAAATGAATATTGATAAGGGAAAGTCTTTCCACAGTCTGGACAGGAGAAAGGCCTCTCTCCCGTGTGAATCCGCGTGTGTTTCTCCAGTGTCGAGCGCCGTGAGAATCCGATTCCACACAGGGGGCAACAGAACTGTTTTTCAGAATGAGAATCGCTGTGGTGGCGAGTAAGATCAGCCTGACTGAAGAACGACTTGTCGCAGTACGCGCAGGCGAACGGCCTCTCGCCTCTGTGTTTGTATAAATGACTTTGGAGTGCGGTGGAGCAGGTAAATTTCTTCTCACACTGATCGCAACTGAACCTCTTCACGCGCTTACGTTTGTCTCCCGTATGGACGGTGAGGTGTAATTTAAGCCAGTCTGGACGACGGAAGCCCTTTCCACAGAGTTCACAGGTGTACGGCGCTTCTCCCGTGTGTATCCGCATGTGACGCACCAGGTTTAAGCTCCGCTGATACTCCATGCCACACAATTTACAGCTGAATTTTTTATCACAAGTCTTTTTGCGATTCGAGGGGAGGAAGTCAGATGGTTCAGCTTCTGTTTCAGTATCTGAAGAACTTCCAACGGGCGCCTGAAAACTTCTCACTGTATATTTCAGCCGTTGGCAATAGCGCACAGGTGATCCTCCTTCTATTTTGCTCAGCACTAAAGTTTCCATACTGTCCTTAGACGACTCGGCTCTCGAAACTCCAAGAAAATCCTCAGAAGGCTTCATTTCAATGCAGTCAGGACTCCAGCCATCAACTAGGGAAATATAGATGTAAATATTCAGATTTATTCCTCAACTGTACTCATTAAACCATTCAAAATTCACATAAATTAACAACACAATCCCATAAGTTACTGAGGCCACAGTTAAAGGAGCAGTTTGTCTGTCTGAGTATCCCCCTCGAGAAAAAAAAGAGAGAGAGAGAGAGAGAGAGAGAGAGAGAGAGAGAGAGAGAGCAAAAGGCTCACCTGAAAATTAACTTTGAACTCCCTCTTGCATATGTAACATCCGAAACACAGCACACAATGCATTCACACCTTACTCTTACAGTCTCATCACATCCCCCTCTTCTCCTAGAAACCTATGCAATATTGTGTGTGTACAAAAAGTAACCTGTTTGGTCTCATTTTAAGTGTCTGGTAAAACGGTCTCATTCTCCCAACTAATGAAAAGCTAAAATAAGTTATAAAGTATATGAGGAAAGTGTTGTGTCTCTTAAATAGAGCCAGACCGATAAAGGATTTTGAAGGCCGATACCGATACAAATATTTGTTGGTTTTAAAATCCGATATATCGGCCGATATTATTATTCTTATTTCAGAAACGCACAGCAAAATATTAACAGATTTCCCTAACATTAGTTATTTATGAGTTTTAAATAAAATAATATGATAATGCATTTTAAAAAGAAACTTGTTTCTATTGTCTCAACAGAACAGAGGAACATCAAAATATGTTAAAGTTCTGATAAATAAAATAATAATTAGTCCCTACATTGCCTTATAGTTATAAGCTACCTTATAATTACAATGTCAGCTTGCTTATCCATTTACCTGCACTTTTTGACAACGCTCATGACATGGTTGAAGCGTGATTCGTCCGTTTTTATTTTATTTTTGAAATATTCATTTATCTGCCATTATAACTGCTGATACCGATATTTTAGAAAATGCCTAGTATCGGTCGATAATATCGGCCTGCCGATATATCGGTCTGGTTCTACTCTTAAAGGTATGTAAAACAGAACCCATTCAAGCTGTGAACCCCCCTAGAGGAGACCAAAATCCAATTATAATGACAGACAAGACTATTTGATGAAGAATATTGAATTCTTTGGCTTTGGAAGGAGCCCAGAAGGGAGGGGCGGGAGTTTCTCTGTGGGTTTTTGAGTTTTGAGTTTCAGTTTTGAGTTTTCTGCTAGTTTCTTAAACTTACCTACACTGCCTTTAATCAAACATTCGATAACTTTTGATGATACACAGATATATTTAAACCTTTTTTTCATTTATGGAGTATAATGAGAAATTGTGTTCCATTTAATCTTGTTTACTCGTAAAAGGAAAGACAGAATGAAATTACTCTTCACAATAGATAATGCTTTACAATGAACTCTGTTAGAGTGCGCCATATGGCAATTTATCTGATCAATAAAGTAAATTACTCACCTGTTGTATAATAAAAACGCCATCTTGCGTCGCTTTTACATTTCAAATCCCTCAGTTCTCGCCATCTAAAAAAAGCCAAGCCAATGTTGATTCTTGTTTTATTACGAGCTCTGTCGCTTTCTCTTTTCGTTTTCCAGCAGACTCTCCTCTGTTCTGCGCTGTTGTTTTTTTAAGTTGATTCAGAGGTTTGAGATTTAGCTGGTCGATGTCAACCTTTCTCACTCAATTTTTTGTTTGTAATTTCACCAGTTTAACATCATAGAATAATACTGAAGGTGGACCTACCGCTGCTCCTCCACCAAACGTGCCGAAACGTAAAAACTGTACTAAAGGGAGTCTCATTCTAAAAATGTGCCAATCACCATCAAGTATATCACTTTTTACAGTGCTGATGAAAAAATGTATTGCAGATGAGGCCTAAGTTACATGATCTTAGTTTGAAATGCTGCAGCTAAAAATGTACCGACTACCACCAACATATTTACCAAGACACCATTTTAACAGAAGCTACAAATTAATAATGCACGGGCGAGTGATGCATGTACGGAAAAACTTTCCCGAGGTCTAAAATAACACTTATAAGGCTTAAAGGAGTAGTTCACTTTTTTTTTAAAAAACTTTTGCTGATAATTTACTCACCCCCATGTCATCCAAGATGTCGTTTAAAGCCCTTTAAAGCTGCACTGAAACTCTCTTTTGGACCTTGAACCGTTTGCTGCCTTTCCCATTGAAGTCCATTATATGGAGCAAAATCCTGGAATGTTTTCATCAAAAACTTTAATTTCTTTTCAACTGAAGAGAGAAAGACATGGACATCTTGGATGACATGTCATGGTGGTGAGTAAATTATCAGCAAAAGTTTTTTTTTTTTAAAGTGAACTACTCCTTTAACATAGTGAATCAGTGAAAGACTAAAGACATTTATAGACCGGCTAATTAAAATTTTGATTTTGAAAATGTGCATAGTGTACTTTTAAAGTTTAATGCATTAGAAGAAATGTAGTGTTCAATGAGAATAAGAGGAATTGAGCATATGAGTGAGTGTGGAAAGAAGGTATTATTAGGCACTAAGTTAACAACAGAAAAGAGTCAACAGATGGAAGTCAGTGAACCAATGACAGAAGACTTGTTTTCAAGATGCAAGAATATTAATGTTGTTTAGCATGGGAGTTTTGAGGCTAAGAGAACTACAGACTCCTTTGAGTAAACTGAGGAAAGGAAAACTTGTTGAGCACGAGACAAAAGATTCATGAGATGTTGACTCTTTCTATTCATTCACTAATAATCACCAATTAAAATCTCAAAAAAGTGAACACAGTTCTGAAAAATAGCTCTTGCACCATTTACATGAAAATTGCTTGATTTTGTTGAGTGACAAAGAGACAACATGGAGTAGTTTTAATACATTCACAGACAAGACTATTTAAATCATTTAAAAATAAAATATAAACGTATATATGTTAAAATGTGTCAGTTTTGTTTATCATTGTTTGTCTACTTACAGTGTAGTAGTAACAGTGTGTTATAGTTCACTAAGTTAGACTCAATCACAAACCTACTGTTAAATCATTTTATATCTTAACAACAAGGCATTTACTTACAAATCGCCAATATTTATCGTAGTTCCAATGAATGTAACATTCTTTGGTCCATTTACAACTTTCTCGAGCATACTTTCTTCTTCTTTATTGCACGGTTGGACAGCATGACTAAAGTCACACAGCACTGCCCCCTTCTGCTTTTAGGAGGAACCTCACATTCATTTGCAAGGGACCTTGGCCCGTGTTTTATTGTTGTTCTGGTCAGAATAACACCCTTTAGCAATACAACAGTTAGTTTTGGTCATTTGGTCATCTGCCCCATTACTATGACAGCTTTGGGACATTTTTGTATCGCTGCAGTATGTGGAGTGGAAACGTTTCATAAATTGATCTTTATGAATTTATTAAACGTAAAAATTTAAGGAAAACATCTCATATTCTGTCTCAGAACTCATTTTTTCCCCCTCATAAATGCTTAATAATAAAATAAAATTATGTTCTGTGCATGCCGACCCCTCTTCATCCGGTTATTAGACTACTTTTGTTTTGCGCAGTGTAGCCTACGCTGCCTTCACACTGGCAGTTGAAATCAGCTCCGTAATACGCAATACGTTCCCAACGGACGTCGTACTACACAGTGAAAAGCGTCGGACGCGGGTAGAACAAAAATGGCGGAGAGATTAAAGTTTGATTCTGTCAGTTCTGTATGATCTCTTTGATTAGGGTTATGCTGCGTGAGGAAAGTTGCTCAGAACGTTGACATGTCAGGTCGGCTAAAAAATGTGATATAGTGGTCAATAGTTCAATGTCTACCTTCAATTTAATTGTATTAACTGCCCTTATAAACGTTAGAAAGTCATGAAAATAAAAAATTACATCACAAATTATCGTTATAAAATCAATATTTATTTTATTAAAAGTTAATAATTCAGGTTTGTTTATCAGTACCATAGCAACGCTCAACTTCCGCTGGAATTGTCGGATAGGAACCGTCCGTAGCTTTTCGCAAGAGTTCAAATTTTTGAACGCATGCGGATGACCAACGGACACGATTTTCTTCGCACCGCACTCGGTCGGACCCGTTTCGGACCCATTCGCATGCGGTCTGCGAATCTCCATAGGAAATGAATGACTTCCGGTCGTTTCGCAGCCGCATCGGAGCTGATTTCAACTGCCAGTGTGAAGGCGGCGTTAGAATTATTAAAAAAATATTGTAAGACTGGAAAACTGGAACCGGTTGATGTAATCAGTCTGACCAGTGTCTTCTGAAGATAAAAGGACCTTGCTTGAACAACAACACACACACACACACACACACACACACACACACCCTTGCAGAGGAAACTCACACAAGAATATATATGGTTTTAATGTGAATGTGATAATCTTTAAGGAGTGTTTGATATCATTTTAAAAGTCTCAGGGTGACTGGTAATAATATCTCATTTCCAAAGAAGTAAAAGAAAAGGTAATAAGGTTTTAAGAATATAGAAATATCTTGCACACAAAAGGGTGTGTCTTTGAGTTAATCACTTTCTACCTTTTGTCTGAATGCAAACTCTACTTCCCCCAGTAAGCATGGTGGGGGGATTCAGTCCATTGTAGTTTGGTGATTAGATCAGGTAAGGTTTGGCTCTATTTAAGGAAAATCCCATGATGCTGGGTCTTCGAGGCTCAGCATTCATGTAGTCAATATGTTGGGTAAAGTTTCTTTGTTCTAAAAACATTTGCTCTGATTATCTTGTGGAACTGTAATAATATATTTACCTGACATAATAAATTGTTATACTTGACTATTCTAACAGACTTTGACTTTATTTTCATTAGAGTTAAAAGGAATAGTTGAGCATTAACGTATTAAATGATGCAGCACAGATATCATTGAGATAAACCTTTTCATTTTATGGAGTCAGATGAAACGAGTTAATACAACTTTGGTATTAAATGTGTTGCATTTAAAAAAATCACTTTGCTATGGAAAAGACGGAACACACTTGAAACCCTCACCACGAATCAAATCGATTTCTATTTTTTTGGATCGATTTCGTGGCCCATTTTACAATATTTTGCCACCTAAAAGTTAAAAAAAAAAAATTGTGTCACATGACATGCGTGTTTCCCTCATATTAAATATAAAACGTGTATAAATGTGCAGACTGGTATTTTTCTAATGTCTGGACTCATAAATACCGAACGATCCCTTAATCTAATTACTATAAATATAAGAAAATACACATAAATAGAACATATTAAATTGCTTGCATGACACTTTCACAAATCTTATCCTGCGCATGTGATCCTTTATAGCTTTATATTAGTTAAAGATATAACTGTCACCCAGCATGCGCCTTGTTCGTCTCTCATCCTATACTTTTCTCTCTCTGGGCAACTCCCGAATATTAGACGTTGAAAGTGTCCATCTCAAATTCAACCCCTGTGACTGTCACATTCCTGCCATGATTTACATTTGACTCTCTCTCTGGGGTCGCTTGACTCTTTTTCTGGGGTCAGTATAAGATCACGGAGCAATCCTAAAAATGATGTGGACATATGGCCCGCCCTTTGCTGGACAGTCGGATGATCAAGCTCTACATGATTCTTCCCGTTGTCATAGATGTGCATATTTCTCTAGGGAGCAAGTTGCCCATTATCTGCCTTTCTTTCTGAGGAGTGAATGTTTTATCATCATGTTTTGATAAGGAGCGCAGGCTCTCTTCAGCCTTGATGTGAGCTGCAATTTGGTGGTGTGTCTGTGTGTGCGTGTTTGACACTATAGATTATGGAGGTTGGGATGAACACACAGACGCATAGGCGGCCTTCTCTAACCCACGAGGTCACCACAGACCTAAATATAGGATCGGACCACAACTATCTTGAAAACTATCTTTACTAATGGCGAAAGGCACCCATATCTGCTCATATGTGTGAACTTGTTTAGGTTTTTACCAGTCAGGAGTTGGCTTGCGACCTTGACGCTCTGCAAAACTGCAAACTATTCTTCAGTAAATTTTCAGTAAATCTAAAACATTGAACCTCACGACTCCTGGTCTTCTTTCATCATATCTGGTCTCGGGTCTTATAACTGTTACTCCCCAAACAACTGACTGAGAGTTCATGAGTTCAGAGTAATAGAAAAATGTCAGATAACTTGACAAATGGCTGCATCTGGTAAATCCTCAAAAATAACACCACATCACATAAACAAGTACCAAGCCTACTGGACTATTAAAGTTGAGAATTAATCATTGGGACATTTAATATCACACACTAGGGGAGGGCAGGGGCGAAAGTACATTTTTTCAGAAAAACATAATTTTAAAAGATGATGGCTTTAGACAGAGATAAATTGCTGTGGTCAGTCACTCAGAAGTGTGGTCTATCAATACCAGTTGGTATTTTGTGAAAATATTATGAACTTCAGTATAATTCCACTTTCAACTTAAAGTCCCCGTGAACCGGAAGTTGCAAACGATTTTTCTCCAGTGCTGTGACGTATTTCCAAGTGAAACGGAATATTGAACAGAGGGCAGGGTTTTACTCTAGCGCTCCTCCTCTCCATCTCTCGCTCATTGCAAACTAACGGTTTGAGGGGAGTGGTTAAGCGTTTCCCCACCCAAACTGTGAAACCTACGTCATCAACCGTTCCAGACCGGGAAGTAACTTTTCAGATTTTGATTAAAGATTACCAAGGTAAAACATTTTTTTAATATATATTTACTTGCACTGATTAATTGTTCACCACAAGACTAGTAATATGCGCTAACAAAGTAAATAGGTTCAATTTTGATTTCACGGGGACTTTAAGACGGCTCATGTTACTTTCGACCCCGTCAGTTGGGACAAAAGTAACACAACAATATGCAAGCTAGATTTTTTGTGTTACTCTTGTTTCGTTTTGGTTAGCCTACCCAAGTATGACCGTGTTAACATATTTTAGCCTTTATCTTTGCAAAAAATTGTTAATTGACATTGTTTTTCATTTTAAATTTCAGTTTCATCAAATGTTTCAAAAGTAACCCAACAGTACAAACTTGAATTGTTTAGAATATTTTTTTATTGTCAACCCATTTTATATGAAAAAAAAGAAAATTAAATGAAATTAGCATAACATAAATTCTCAACATAATGTAACAATAGTCGTGTTTCCATCCAGCTGTTTATCTGCATACATTTAAAATGTGCATTAAAAAAATCTGGATAGAAATCCTGCAAATTCATAGGTGGTGGTGTTAAAGCTATAAGGTATGGCTAAAACCTAAATGTGACTTGGGTAAATAACAGATTGAGTGAAAAAAAAAATGGTGACAGAAATCCGCTGATTTAAATGTGACTTAAGCTTTAAAAGCCCCCTCATAAACATTTGCCATATTCTATATATATGACATAAACATGTTTTAATAAATGCTGCAACACACAGAAAGGCACCACAATAGCAGAGAACAATGATGAAATCACGTGATATTTATAAGCTCAGGTTACATTTTTACAGTCTATGGCAAAGTGCTGTCATATCTCTGTCAGAAAATCGCTTTGTTACTTTAGTCCCGGTTCTCCCCTAACCCCCAGTCTACTCCTCCATTACTGGTTCCAGTGAGTGAATTTGCTTGAGCAGCCATTGTGTCATTACCACAACCTTGCACTGTAACATATAAAAACAGTATACATTTAAAAAGTGATGACATTTATAAAACTGTTGCAAATTTGTTTTAAGGTTTTTTGTTGTTGCAGAACTAAGGGACTTTTATTTTGACTCTTGTGAGTTCACTGTTTCTGTCTACTTCACACATGTCTAGCATGTTTTCACGGAAATAACCCCTACAGAGGAATAAAATAACTCAGACCAGGACAATGAATGAACGTGAACTTGATCTCACGGAAGCGCAAAAAGCAACAAAGTCAAAATATCCTCCGATCACCAGGAAATATGAGTGTAAGTGAAATTAAATTCACTGTCCATTCCGCATGCGTCATGTAACGTTAGATCCAGTGACGAACACAAACAAAACGCACTTAATCGTGATTTAAATGTCCTAAAAAATGTCATTTCATAAATGAGAGTCACATATAAGTAAATGTATTGACGTTACTAGACGGGAACGTTACAGCACTATTCATGAAACTGAATTAGGTCACGTGACTTGACTCGACAATAGGATTACGTCACCACGCACAACAACGTAATGATTGCAAATTATTTTAAATATAATATATATTCACTACATACACCCAATTTTAAGATTATTTATGGTAAAACGTGTATAAAGTAGTGATAGAAAAAATAAACGCATTTGCTTTGCAGAATGATCTTTTGCTGAAACACTGCGAACGAAACTGAACGAACCTGTAGCCTATGATTATTATTATTATTTTTTTTTTTTACATTTTACAAACAAATGTTTTCGTAATAGTTCAATCTATTAAATTGAATCTATAGATAATAAATCATTAAATGTTAAGGGTCTATAATCTGTGATACCCTGCCTAAGTGTATCATATAATGTTCTAATAGCTCCTCAATCTAAAACGGTTGACCTTAAGTTCAACCAAAAAGGAATAAAAATTTACTCACTCTCAAGTTTTTCCAAACCGACATGAATTTTTCCTTTTTAACACAAAATAATATATTTTGACAAATATGAGTAACCACAAAGTTGCTGTACCCCATTGACTTCCACTGTATTTTTTCCCCAATACAATGGATGTCAATGGAGTCCATTAACTGCTTGGTTACTCATATTATTCAAAATATCTTCTTTTTTGATTTCAGTTCTTATTAAAAAAAGAGAAAGTGTTTGGTAGTAAAATAGTGCTGTGATTGCTCAATGTTTGCTGGATTTTGTTTCAATTCTTGTTTCATCATGTAGGCTACACTCTTAAAAATAAAGGTTCTTTATTGGCATGGATGGTTCAATGAAGAACCTTTAACATAAAAGGAAAATGTTTCTTTCAAATGTTTTTTTTTTTTCCAACAAAAAAAAATTATTCTATATGCATGGCATCACTGTGAAAACCCCATTTTGGAAGCTTTATATTTAAGAGTGTAGGTTTTAGGTTTGAGTTTAAATCAAAATCATGTCATCCTCAAATTATTTGAGGATGACGTCCACATCCTCATCCTCAATATTTGATTTTCTGTTGCAGATCTTGATCATACTGCAGATGTCCAGTAAGTATTTGCCTGTGTACTGTTTGTTACTTTACTGTAAAAAATAGCTGGAAATACCAAAGTTACACTAATAAACATAGAGAGGAAATTCACTGTGGCCTCACAGGAAAAGTACATCATTTTCACATCACCATTTATGTGATGGGTTGTTCAACATTAACTCAGTGCTAGAAGTCAAGAAGCAAGAACAAGAATGTTTGGTTAGATTAAGATTAAATAAGCCCACCCTGTAATGTTTATAACAAAGATTTTATTGTGATATCCCAATATGCTCTAATGTTGTACTGTAGGATCCATGCATGGGGAGATTCTCTTGAAGAGGCTTTTGAGCAGTGTGCAATGGGAATGTTTGGCTACATGACGGATACAGAAACTGTGGAGCCCACTGACACTGTAGAAGTAGAATCAGAAGGTGGGAAACAATATTCAACCTTTTCTTTTCACACTACCTGGTATTACAGCATTCTGCTGTATTAAACCCTAACACCAAAATGGAAAACTAAACCTGTAGCCTTTTTATCTCAAATCTCATTTGAGCTTCTGTAAGTTAAATTCATGCAAAATTTCATTGGTTTTTCTGACATGTGACTGGCATTGTGAGTTTGAAAAGTACAAAGGAGATTTGAGAGTTACAACAATGGGAATATTATCATTTTTATAAATGAAGAAAGACTCTGTTTATAGTGCTTTTCGTCACCAGTCAAAAGTTTGGAATACTTAAGATTTTTTTAATGTTTCTGAAAGTCTCTTATTCTCACCAAGGCTGCATTGTGGATTTTTTGATCGAAAATACAGTAAAACTGTAGCCTGGCTAACATCAGACCAGTGGAAGATTGATTCATTTGGATTAGGTCATGAAAAAACAAAGTTCTTCTCCGTGTGTATGTGTGAGCATGCGTGCGTGCATGCATGTACACTCACCGGCCACTTTATTAGGTACCCCATGCTAGTAACGGGTTGGACCCCCTTTTGCCTTCAGAACTGCCTCAATTCTTCGTGGCATAGATTCAACAAGGTGCTGGAAGCATTCCTCAGGGAGTTTGGTCCATATTGACATGATGGCATCACACAGTTGCCGCAGATTTGTCGGCTGCACATCCATGATGCGAATCTCCCGTTCCACCACATCCCAAAGATGCTCTATTGGATTGAGATCTGGTGACTGTGGAGGCCATTTGAGTACAGCGAACTCATTGTCATGTTCAAGAAACCAGTCTGAGATGATTCCAGCTTTATGACATGGTGCATTATCCTGCTGAAAGTAGCCATCAGAAGTTGGGTACATTGTGGTCATAAAGGGAAGGACATGGTCAGCAACAATACTCAGGTAGGCTGTGGCTTTGCAACAATGCTCAATTGGTACCAAGGGGCCCAAAGAGTGCCAAGAAAATATTCCCCACACCATGACACCACCACCACCAGCCTGAACCGTTGATACAAGGCAGGATGGATCCATGCTTTCATGTTGTAGACGCCAAATTCTGACCCTACCATCCGAATGTCGCAGCAGAAATCGAGACTCATCAGACCAGGCAATGTTTTTCCATCTTCTATTGTCCAATTTCGATGAGCTTGTGCAAATTGTAGCCTCAGTTTCCTGTTCTTAGCTGAAAGGAGTGGCACCCGGTGTGGTCTTCTTCTGCTGTAGCCCATCTGCCTCAAAGTTCGACGTACTGTGCGTTCAGAGATGCTCTTCTGCCCACCTTGGTTGTAACGGGTGGTTATTTGAGTCACTGTTGCCCTTCTATCAGCTCGAACCAGGCCATTCTCCTCTGACCTCTGGCATCAACAAGGCATTTCCGCCCACAGAACTGCCGCTCACTGGATGTTTTTTCTTTTTCGGACCATTCTCTGTAAACCCTAGAGATGGTTGTGCGTGAAAATCCCAGTAGATTAGCAGTTTCTGAAATACTCAGACCAGCCCTTCTGGCACCAACAATCATGCCACGTTCAAAGTCACTCAAATCACCTTTCTTCCCCATACTGATGCTCGGTTTGAACTGCAGGAGATTGTCTTGACCATGTCTACATGCCTAAATGCACTGAGTTGCCGCCATGTGATTGGCTGCTTAGAAATTAAGTGTTAACGAGCAGTTGGACAGGTGTACCTAATAAAGTGGCCGGTGAGTGTATATTTTTGGTCCTCAGATGGAAATTTGCATATAAACTATATTTTATGAAATGTTTAAAAAAAAAAAAAAAAAAAAAAATCGAAAAATGCAGAAAGTTAGTATGTGTGTGTTCTTTGTTCCAGTTCTTATCCCACTGATCCACAAATGAAAATAGTGCTGGAAAGAATGGGTGCACTTCCCTTTCTTGTTTAATCGGGCTTGCTATTTTTGGATCAGACTTAAAGGTGAACTCCGGTGCAAAATGAACAATTGGTCTAATTACACATTCCTACCTAGTCAACCGTTATCTGAGATTTGTTTTCATGATTGCCGAATGTAAATAGTTTTATCTCTAAAAACAGTTTAGCCTATAACGCTAGTATAATGCTAGTATATAGGGCATAGAGTAATGACAAATAAAAATTAGAGATTGTTTTTAGAGATAAAACTATTTACATTCGGCAATCATGAAAACAAATCTCAGATAACGGTTGACTAGGTAACAATGTGTAATTAGACCAAAGGTTCATTTAGCGCCGGAGTTGTCCTTTTAGTAACATGAACATAAAACCACAGGTGTTGTCAGACTGGGCAGATTCCAGGCAGGTGGACAAAAAACAGCTGTTTTTTCCTCTTCGTTTTACGAAATCGGGTAAACAACGTCTCTCTGAAATATTGTCTGTAGTGCAGTGTAAACAACCCTTGGGAGACTGACTCAAAATGCATATTACACATGTGGTGGGAGCAGGCCAGAAGACAGTTTTGCCTAGGCCCGAAGATAATCTTAAATCTCTCCTTTTCCCTTGTTTTTCCTCTCCTGTTTCTTTTCTATAGCCTACTTCAGTTCTTGTTAAAACAAACTACTAGACATGCAACATCTGTGCATTTTGTGCACTTTTTTGTGTGAATTCATATTTACTTTTTGGCCAACAAAAGTGTCCTTTCAATTTTAATTCAGCATGAACAGAGCAGCAAAAATAGCCTCGGATCTGGCCCATTATCTGTTCACGGATGCCGAGTCCGACAGTGACTCATTTCAGCCGGCTTTTTATTTCTAATCCATAAATATATCTAGTAGTAAAGCTAATGCAAGGGCTAGAAATCAATGAATTCTTTGCTAATAGTAATACTTCCTCATCATCATGGAGAGCGCAGTTCGCACCGCTTTCTCCTTTCCACAAGCGCGTGCTCTCGCGTGGCGTCGGTCGTTGCTATGCAACAATGAAACGTACAAGCGTCACAGTTCGTAAACAAACATAATACAACAAAAAAATAAATAAACATAGAATAAATTTAAGTAAAATAAAAAAGTAATAAATAAAAATAAATAAATAAATCAAAATAATAATACATGACTTAAATAGACAGACTTACAACCTTCATTACTTAAGAGAGCAACAATGAACTTGCTCGCCTATGTGGCTCTTTCCTCCTTTCTTATCAACGAGTGGATTTACAGCGAGCACATCAGCAGCACCGCGCCGGTCGCAATGTCTCAGCACTTTTATGAAGAGGAAGCAACGGCACGCGCATCAAGTACTGGGTTTGAGAAAACCTGGTACCGTGGCGTGACGTTTAAAAAACACTACCGACTTGGTACCGAAGTACAACACTCATAAACGTTGGCTGTGCTGTTTCTTACCTTGCTCAACGTTGACTTTACAAACGTTAGTTCCGGCTTCACCGTCACCACCTTTTTAAAAATGTTTGTTTAGGTTGGACATCTCGAAGACCTTCTTCTCTTTTCTCTTCTGAGCCCCGTACTTGTGCTGACCGGACATTTTAAGTGTAACATTAGCCCACTGAACTTCAAATCAAATGACGACATCAAATTTTGATCAGTGGCTAAACCATTTTTGTATTGGGGGTGGGGGGGTTCGTTCAATAGGAAAACGACCGGTTCAAGATGGCGGCCGCATTTCTTGCGCCCAGCGTCCAATAAGGCATCTAGCTCTATGTGATGTCTATGTGTGAACCTATAGCCTAATAATGAGGAATTCAGACCCAAGTTCTGCTTTATTTACACCGCAAATGTATGGTTTATATGTTAAAAGGAACGATTTAAAAGCATGAAATGTCCCCTTTGATCAAACTCGAAACTAAATGTAGGACTATAGACCATTTCACAAGATGCAAACAACACTGGTCCAGAAGCACTTCCTGTTTCAGTTTTTTAACACTACATAAAAGCTGGGATAAAATACAACCAACAGACCATTTAAAACTGAATCAAAAAGTTAAACATCTTTAAGATGTTTTCTTTACATGTGAAATAAAGAAAACAGTTACAAACTGAAACAGGAAGTGCTTCTGGACCAGTGTTGTTTACATCTTGTGAAATGGTCTATACTACTCCTGTCCAGCATCAGGTCATCTTGTAAACCGCCCAGAATGGACTCTGGTTCTCGACTCGTGTTTGACAGCTACTGGACTTCAGTCAATTCATTTTGACTGTGCAAAAATTGATTTATTTTTATTTTGTCATCATTATCTTTTTCACCATTGATTTGCATGCCAATAAAATGATACCATTAATTTGGCAGTTAAAGTTTTGGGCGGATTTTTCTTGGAATATATGTGTTTTGAGTTGTGAAATATTTGTATTTATGATGATGTGTATGGTATCATGAGGTGCATGGTGACACCCAGCCTTACAGTGAAGTGAAGTGTTTACTGGATAATCCAGAGTCAGAGGAGTTTGTTCTGCAAGTAAACACTATTAAAAGCTTCAAAGCTAGACTAGACCTCATTTCAGAAATAATATAATTCCAGAAATTAAATTGGATTACTTCATCATAATTAAACCATGGTTAGTCTACTGCTGAGGAGTAAATAAATAAATTAAATTTGAATTAGTTGAGTCTAGTGGTTCTCAAAGTGGGCAAAGGCAGAAAATATAGCCATTGCATGACTTCAGATGACCAAAACATTTTATGGGAATGTAGCGCTTGAATAGTGCCTAAATATTCTGTTTGACTTTTATGGTGCAAAACACTGATTTTCGTGATTCAACAGAGGGAAAAAAGTAAAACATTAAACAGAGATTATATTTTTGAGTTTACTCCAGGTTCAGATCGTCTTAGATGTGAGAGCCTTTGAATATTGTCTTAAATTCTCCAGACATAATTTTGGGCCAGGCTGTGTATACAAAGAAATTATGAACGCATACAAAAACAAGAGAGAACAAAAAAATATTTATAACTTTATTACGTTTTAATTTATAAATATTAATAACTTTAAATATTATCATTTATATTTGTGGCTATTTGGTGATGTGTGTGAAGCTGTAGTGTCTAATAAGCACATGAGGGCTGGGCACCATAAAGGTGTTTGACACTTAAATAAACAAATCAATCAATGAATCAATCAATCAATCAATATAACTGATTATGTTGTAGTCGGTGTTTTTCTGTTATCTTATTTCTCTCTCTCTCTCTCTCTCATAGTAAAATAAAACATGTAGCTGTGTAGCTTGTGATTACTTTGTCTGTTGTGTTTCAGGAGACGACTTGGAGTCACTCCTTTTCCATTTTTTGGATGACTGGCTCTTTAAATTTAGCGCTGACTTGTTCTTCGTTCCAAGGGTAACACATGCCACATAATGTTTGATTTTCTGTGACCTCAATCTACTCCGGTTTCCAATCATCGCCACCCTCCTCCTGTTTTTCAGGAAGTCAAAGTGCTGCACATAGACAGACTGCAGTACAGAATCCGCTCTATTGGGTAAGTTGTGAAACACTGAGAGCCTATCAAGTCTTGTACATCAGGGCCCACAGAGTTATATAGAAAAACATTCAGCAGAACACTTAGGTAACATGACTGACCTAATTTCATTTGGTGAAAATGACACTACATAGCTGTGGAATGATTTGGAGAGAAAATAGTGAAAGTGAGATTTTCACTGGAAATCTTTCATGGTGATATCTGGATGAAATTATTTCATCAGAGGATGAGTTTCTGAGAAAATGACTAAACAACACCTGACTCAAATTTCCTGGGAAAAAAGATGGGAACACGATATAATATTTGATATTTATATTCGGTTTACAAAATAAATGATTTTGCCAGAGTACACTGATACTGTGTATTACAAGTTAGATTTTTGCCTCTGGATTGGTGTCATTATAGGAGCTTCATCATTTGCTGTAGTCAAGTTAAATTGACTTATATAGCGCTTTTCACAATACACATTGTTTCAAGGCAGCTTTATAGAAAAACAGAATGTTATTGTTTATAGTATTTTAATATCTTCTTTCCTTTTAGTCTCATTAAGCAGACAGGATCAAGCAGTTGAGATTTGATTCAGTAGTGGCCAAAAGTGACGTCTGGCTTAAGAAAATTCACATTTTCATCTATTTGAATATTATTTAAATAGATAATTTTGGGCCGGGCGATCATAGAAAGAAATTATGAACACATGCAAAAACAAGAGGGAACCAAATAAACAATTAATAACTGATTATGTTGTAGTCCGTGTATGTTTTTCACATGGGTTTTTTATTTATTTTGTGAATATTTTTTTATACCGAGTGTTTTCTTCATCACGCTTATTTAAAATATTTAAAAAAAATATACATGAAATATTTTCCTCATATTTTGATGTTACAATTGAACTAGTATGGCCAACTTGCCTTTAAGCCACTTCTGTATATTGCTTTTCGTGAGTATACTGTATTTATGTGGGTAAAATTGGACATAATATATCCAACTTTATAAGAAAAATTTTGTTGTACCCTATTAGATAAAATCCTGCAACCAGTTATTATTAATGCTTTACAAATTCCAGAGAATGTAGCCTAAAATATAGGCTCTACCTGAGAAATGACTATAATGAAATAAAAAAATGTATCAGGCCCCCTCCTAAAAGCTTTTAGTAGCTTCTTTTGGGTTTCCTTTTACACGACCTATGACCATTGTTTCTTCTGAAAATGTGTGTAAATGAGACATGTGTGAAAGAAACGAAACAAAACTTTCAGTTCTGGCCACACTTAACATGCCTGTGTGGGTTGTCACAGACCTTTCATTGTGTGATAGCCATAAATATGTTCTACTTGATTTCCTCTTGCCCCAAATAAGGCCCCGCATTCCTGTATCAAGCTTTCCCGACAGTGATTTTCAGTCTGCTTTTAGAATAGGGTATTCCAGAGTCTGCTTTCTGAGAGCTATATATCTGTGAATGATGGTTACCTAAAATAACTTTTATTGTTTCTCCCTTTGTGATTTGTAGATGGGGTGAAGAATTCAACATAAATAAGCACCCACAGGTACTTTACTGTGTCCTCCTTAAACACACTTGTGGCCTAAACCATATCTTTTTAAAGGCATAGTTCACTTTAAAATTAATTTTGGATATGTTTTAGCTTGCCTCAAGTGCATCCAAGATGTCGGTGTCTTTGTTTCCGCAGTATTTTCAATTTTGATATTTTTAGGTCAAACCGTTCGTGTCTGTCAGTCATATAATGGAGGTCTATGGGGTCCAACTCAAAGAGCATGCGCAGAGGAGTCCAAATTAAACATGATTTAATGACTCGTAAATGTAAGCACACATTGATGGCCTAAGACACGAAACGAGCGGTTTGTGTGAGAAAAACAGTTTGTGTGTAACCACAGCCACAAAGCACCCGCGCCCTCAGATCACTTGGACGTGGCTGTGGTTACAAGAGGTAAAAACGATATAAATACTGTTTGTTTTCTCACACAAACCGCTCGTTTCGTGTCTTAGGCCATCAATGTGTGCTTACATTTACGAGTCATTAAATCATGTTTAATTTAGACTTCTCTGTGCATGCTCTTTGAGGTGGACCCCATAGACCTCCACTGTATGACGGATAGACACAAATGGTTTGACCTAAAAATATCAAAATTGAAACTACTGCAGAAACAAAGACACCTACATCTTGGATGCCCTTGAGGTAAGCTAAAACATACCAAAAATTAATTTAAAAGTGAACTATCGCTTTAAACAGTAGCTCATGTTGTTGTTTTGACACTTTTCTCAATGATCCCTATAAAAGAAAACATCCCATGGGCAATCATGGTTTGTTGATGTTTTGATAAGCCATTATGGAAATCCACTGGGATTATGAAGCAATCTTTTTGTTCATTCCAACAGCAACAACAATGCTTGAATTTCATGATTATCCATTACGCTTTCACGCCTGCGACTTCCTGCTGGCTACAAAACAAAACATTAAAATGACCACAAAATCATTGGATTGTGCAGAATGCATGCATAACCACTCATCTAGCTGATCTTAACCACGATGCACAATGGGATATTTCTTTGGTGGTTTGCCTTTCTACAGCACTGAACCAGAGTACAGAAATAATGCTCATTCAACTCTTTCTAACTACAGAATACTGTTGTTCTGCATTATTTAACCTGTGAAAGTGTTTTAGGAACATGTTCTATATTTACTCATTCGAGCAGATCCTTTTACATTGACTAAATCGAGCAAGTCTTAAAAAACACCGGTGAATGACCACTGGTTGAGTCTGGCCCGAGTTACTTAAAGGAGAACTCCGGCGAACAATGAACCTTTGGTCTAATAAAACATCGGTACCTAGTCAACCGTTCTCTGAGATTTGTTTTCATGATAATCGAATGTAAAGAGTTTTATCTCTAAATACTATTTAGCGTATAATGCTAGTAATGGGGGCATTGACTAAGTAAAAAGAAATCGCTAGTTTATACCACTAACAAAGCTCAAAATAGCCCCACACTAACACAGTAACATAATGAGGCTCCATACATGCAAAACGAAGCATTGAGAACTTTGTAAGTGTACAGACCGTTTAATAAGAAGATACTTTATGAAGACAGTTCACTTTGCGTATACAGACAGGCGCCATCTTAAAAAAATAGTCTCGATAAGTCGATCCCCGAACGCTGTTCATACAGTTCAGAAGTTCGTTGAACTTCATACAGTTCAGATCACTCAGCACGACGTTCGTGGTTTGACTTATCGAGACTATTTTTTAAGATGGCTCCTGTCTGTATACGCGAAGTGAACTGTCTTCATAAAGTATCTTCTTATTAAACGGTCTGTACACTAACAAAGTTCTCAATGCTTCGTTTTGCATGTATGGACCCTCATTATGTTACTGTGTTAGTGTGGGGCTATTTTGAGCTTTGTTAGGGGTATAAACTAGCGATTTCTTTTTACTAAGTCAATGCCCCCATTACTAGCATTATAGGTACGCTAAACAGTTTTTAGAGATAAAACTCTTTACATTCGATTATCATGAAAACAAATCTCAGAGAACGGTTGACTATGTGCCAATGTTTTATTAGACCAAAGGTTCATTGTTCGCCGGAGTTCTCCTTTAAGCAAACATTCACATTTCCGATGCTGCATAAATTACACTCATTTAAACGCATTCCAAAGATTTTAATGCTTTTATTTTCTTGTTTCACAGGGTACAGAAGTGAAAGCAATCACCTACTCTGCTATGCAAGTACATGATACAGAAAAGCCAGAAATCTTCGTCATCATCGATATTTAAATTTACAACGGATTCAAAACCTCTTTTTAATGACATGATTTAAAGAGATTGCCTTAGTTGGAATGGACATGTGAGGGATGTCGTTTCTGTAAACTGTGGATTACATTACTGAAATACTATATTTTTGACTGATTTTCATGATTAATAATGATATTTAAAAAATCATTATCTTTCATTTTGTGAAAACACAAACATGACCCAAAATAAACACTGTCATTTAAAATGACTTAAACATCAAGGCTAAGCCTAATCAAGCTTATTTTTGTACTAAAGTTTGAAAAATAAAATACATCTCATTTTCAATCTCATATTCTGTTCATTTTAATGCTATGATGAAAGTAAACCTCTTCAGTGATGTGTGTGTGAAACCTTTTGACATCAGCAGCTACAATGAATGAAAAATAAAATACATCTCAATCTCATTATATTCTGTTCATTTTAATGCTACGGTGAAAGTAAACCTCTCCAGTGATGTGTGTAAAACCATTTGACATCAGCAGCTACAATGACTTGATTTGCCATCAATATACAGAAACAAACATTTGTAAAGTCAATGTTTTTAAATATACAAGTCTTAAAGCTGAAGTGTGTCATTTCTGGGGCTCAAACTCATGCAATGGGTTGAGCTAGAGTTCATTATTGCTACATAATGTAATTGCATTACTTTAGACACCTTTTTCCATTAACGGACATTTTAAATGCAGCCGTGAATTCTGCAAAGTATAATATATTTTTTTTTTTTTTAGAATATTCTTGATTCTTTTTATAAAAGCTAAAAAGCCTGAAATGACCCCTTTTTCAGGTTGTACTTCAAAGTCACTTGTGAAGAATGTGGGAGTGCAAGCTAAACTAATGGATTCCAATTGCAAAGAAAAAAAAAAAAAATCACACACTTCAACTTTAAAGGTTTCTTGTTCTTCTCTACCAAATATGGTTTATTTTAAATAAAATAATAAAAGCCCACATTGGTAACAGTTAGTGCTCAGCACAGAATATAACTTCCAAGCTATTCATAGGAATGATGCGTCCAGTAACATGTCATTTCTGTTTGGCACGGCAGTATAACCATAACAGAAAGCTTGTTGAACACAGGAGGAGACAACACAATATAGACAGAACCACCACAGACGTTCCAGAGTTCATGTTCTCATCTGAAAAAACAAAGACAAGAGGAATACGTCACCGACAAATGACTCCATTCACTCCTTACAGTCAACATAAAACTGAGCAATCTTACTTCTATAATGACGTTTCAGACTGAATATTCAGTCATACATAACACTGTAAGTGAAAAGAATTTTTCCTTTGAAATATAAATTTTTCAATTGTGCATTTAAAATTTTCAAATGTGTATTTAAAATGGGTCATTTATGTAGAAGAAATGTCAAATTATTTTACAATTTGGAGCTTTCTAGACGGAGAAAAGCCAGAAAATGTATTTTTGGCTTATGTGGATGAAAGACAACAACTCCCAGAATGCACTTGCTTCGCTGCCCTAGGAGGCCACGCCTACCGGTAACAGAGCGCTGTAGTTAAACAACAAGTCTAGGCTGCTAGTGAGTCTCCGTGATGAGTCTGCCCGAAAATGTGTTTCGAGATCGCCCAAAATGTCCGGGATTCGGCTTTTGCGTTCTACAGTCGCCATTCATCATGTTTACTGTGGCGAGCGGGACGAGTGAGTGTGTTTTTATTTAAAAACACACCTGATACAACAAATGTTTTTACCTTGGGTGATACTTATCCAATATTGTCCCAGGGGAGATATAAACCTATTCAATCAGACAATGAAGGAACGATTCTCAGTCTAATCTCAATCTACTCTCCACAACTCACTCACACACACAAATTGTGTTTTTGTGTCTTATGGGGATTTTCCAAACACAGAATTATTTTTTATATTATACAAACTGTAAATGCTGTTCCCTAACACTAACTACCCCTAAACCTACTCTTACAGTTTCAAAAAACATCACGTGATTTATAAGCTGTTTTCCTCATGAGGACCAAAAAACGCCCACATTTTTACCCCATTATGGAGGGTTTACCAGGACCACACACACAAATCAAAGGGCCCATGCACTCCTGGTCACGTCATGCATTATCTGTGGTTGGATTAGATCATGAAATGACTGTGTAGGTGTACTGTAAATGCCCTCTGAAATGCTTTCAAGGTTTAAATACAATCCTTGAAGCACTTCAGGAGGTGGTTATGTCCAAACGAAACTGGAGATAAAAACTGGGCCAGCTATCACACATCCTAAATGGTACATCAAAGTACCTTGCAGGTACATATTAGTATTTTAAAAGTACATATTAGTAGTACATTAAGTGTACATAATAGTACTTTAAGTGTACATTAGTGAAGCTACATGGGTACATTTTTTCCTCCCAAAATGGTAAAAACATGTGAGAGCGTGTTATACTGGCAGTATTACAACACACATCGCCACAGATATGTCTTTCCTCAGCAAGCACACACACACACACTGCCAACAAATTCATCCTTTGATGTCAGATCCTGAAACCATTAAAAGTGGTGAGTGCTATATTATCTCCCCCCTGTGATGACACAGCATGACATGTGTTGACACAGCTCTCTCTCCCATTGTGTTTTTGATTTTGAAATAAGCTGATGACAATAAATTGCAGCGCATATTGGTTGCTTTTGGGGATATAAGAACTCCATTTGCAAAGCCTAGTGTATAAGAAAAAACAACTATAAGCCAAGTTTACTTGGACTACTTAATTATATTTTTAAGAATATCTCGATCAAAAGATTGAGTACAAGAATAGGCCAATATAATTCTGTCAGTATAAGTCAAGTATACGTTTGAAGTATATCAAAATTAGACTTTCTTATTTTTAGTTAAACATAAGTATAATAATAATAATAATAATTCATTACATTTATATAGCGCTTTTTTTCTGGAAACTCAAAGCGCTTCACATAGAGGGGGGGGGGATCTCCTCAACCACCACCAATGTGCAGCATCCACCTGGATGATGCGACGGCAGCCATATTGCGCCAGAACGCTCACCACACACCAGCTTACTGGTGGAGAGGAGACAGTGATGAAGCCAATTGGTGTATATGGGGATGATTAGGAGGCCATGATGGACAGAGGCCACTGGGCAAATTTGGCCAGGATGCCGGGGTTACACCCCTACTCTTTCGAAAGACATCCTGGGATTTTTTATGACCACAGAGAGTCAGGACCTCGGTTTAACGTCTCATCCGAAGTATACTAAAATAGCACACTTGAATAAACTTTTGGGGAAAAAAAAAACAAATGCTGGTGGAAGAAAAAACAAAAGCTTTTTTTTGATTTGCTCCTCCAAAATGAAAGACTCTGAGAAAAATATGGTTCACTTGCTGTACACATTCCCTAGCCTGGGAAAACCCAGACAAACTCCGACAAATTTAGATTTTCAGTTACGAGAATGGTCTGGTTTTAACCAGGCTACGCATTCCCACCACTGTTTTTTCCTCCACCTATTACTTTCAGACTGATTCCTCTTACGTCAACCATTATTCTCTTTGGATGTGGCCTATGCTGACAGTATCCTGGATACCAGAGCTGCAGATACAACACAAATAGGCCTACGCTGATCACAAATGTTCCAACAATTTGTCCTCTTTTGAACTCTGATACTATGAAGGTAATATGATGCCATAAAAAAAAAAAAAATCACATGGGCAGGGTAAGATTTGTGAAATCGTACATAAGATTAAAAGTAGGGATGCACGATATATCGACCACATTTCGATATCGGCCGATTAATGGTCTTTTTTGATGTTATCGTTATCGTTAAACACGCCAGTCACCAGAACACCTCTTTATCTTCATTTGGTTCAGAAACACTCTCAATGCCGGAATGGTATACTTTTAATGCACCATGCATACCATGTTTGTAATTTCCCCATTGTATAACCATAAAATATGACTGAAGTCGAAACCATAGCTGCCTTTTCCTGTGGACATGTCAAATCTTTTCATGTAATTGGAAAAACGGTGCCAAAATTCATTCAAAAAATTCATACCAAGTATACTTAAAATGCAATTCATGCATTCATCGTCTGGTGTCGTTTAAAGCCCTTTGAAGCTGCACTGAAACTCTCAATTGGACCTTGAACCGTTTGGACCCCATTGAAGTCCATTATATGGAAAAAAATCCTGAAAAAAACGTAATTTCTTTTCAACTGAAGAAAGAATGACACGGATAACTTGGATGACATGGGGATGAGTAAATTATCAGCAAAAGTGTTTTTAAAAAGTGAACTACTCCTTTAAGTATTGAACTTCAGCACTATTTCCGGTTAACTAAAGTGCAGGAATAGTTGTTCCAATTTAGCAGACTTGTATACCAGTTTTTGTATACAAAAGGTGCAATTGCAGGGTATTTATATTACGCACGTAGCGCACATAAATATGTACATGTATTTGTAGTATACTTAGCTTACTATCTCAAGTGTTTATATTTAATTATAAATGATAGTGCCTCAGAACATATCCTGACATCAGAGCTAGACACTAAATTCCCTAAGAGCTACGGAAACCTCGTTTCATAAGAACCTCGTAGTTGAAGCAGATTCATGCCATGAGCGAGCACTTTACTATGTGTTAGTCAAACCAAACTTTCAAATGCTTTTAATAATATGAAACACCCAGACCGCATTCATTTATTTTTTTGGGGAAAGCAACATCTGCCTCATAGTCATGTCATGGGGTTTCTGAATGAAATGAGATTTCATTGTTTGATGAATCATCCCTTTAGTGACTCAACTATGTGAAAACCAGAGAGTAACCAGAGAAGTCTAATGGGAATATTTTGAACTAGATCACAACCATTTAAACAGCAGCTTCTTGACAAATCACAGCAAAGATTTATACTCCACATTAATCAGGCTTATGTGTTGGAATCAAGTTAAATATTTTACACATACCATAAAGATAACCGCGCAGACCGATTGGCATCTGGCATTGGGAATTGGCATTAGGAATTTGTGCCGACATCACGTCACTTTATTCCGTAGGTGTTGTTTTAGGCAGTAAATAAGTATTGAAGGAAAAGTGTTTCTGTAGCTTCATGAAAATGTCAGAAACGTCTGTATTCATCAAAAAATTGCATGTAGTTCATTTCATCTGTGATGAAGTGCAAACACTGTGCGAGCATCACTATTGGAAGCAGACAAAGACGGAGAACCAAACACACCTGTAGCCAATCAGCTGTAGGGGGCGGGTCCACTCATGATGGGGGAGGAGAGAGAGACAGTGAGCAAGCCATTTGTAGAAAGACTGTAGAAAGAGAGATGGCTGAGATGTTACCAAAGGAAAAGGTCAGAGGAATAGAATTGGAAAAAGGTGGGTTACAATCAGGCAAGAGCTTTAAGCCTAGCTCACACTACATGATTTTAAAACGGCGGGCTGAACTGTGTGGTTCACACTACATGACTCGCTCTCTGTCAAATCAGGAGTGTTCAAGTTGTGGAGCTGTTCACACCACACGACACAACGTGATTGATCCGCCACAGGAGGTAACGCAATACACGAGTGACAACAACTCTGTCACCCAACGATTCTATCTTTTCTACAAACCACATTTTGTCACGAAAAATCAAGCGATAAAACGAACTGAAAATTACGTGTGAAGGGGCGGTCAAAATCCCTTGCCTCCTCAGCATATATATATATATATATATATACACATATATATATATATATATATATGAAGAGTTCAGATGCAAAAGCCTCTAAATGCCATTTGAAATTTTCCTCTAGAATGGTCATTTTTATCAAACTTGTATATTTGAGTTCAGTAATTTCACTTAAATAACAATTAATAGGCAATCTTCATTGCCATTTAAGTGAAATTACTGAACTTAAATACACAAGATTGATAAAAATGATCATTTTAGAAGAAAATTTCAAATGGCATTTAGAGGCTTTTGCATCTGAACTCTTCATATATATATATATATATATATATGTATATATATATCCTTTTAAATGCTCATGTATTTCTTTCAGAAAATCAGTAAGTATATTCATTATTACTTAATCATTTATTGACATATATATATATATATATTTTTTTTTTTTCTTTGTGCTTATGCTTGAGAAATCATATTCTTAATTGGATGCTGATGTAAGTTCCCAGCTATCCTTGAGAGAAAGAAGACATTGTCGTGATGTTTTGAGACGACGCTCCTGTTTATAGTTAAGAGTCTGGCCGAATCCAACCTTGGAAAAGCAGTGTGTCGGTGTGTGTGTTAGTAGAATTGTTGTTCTGGACATACTGGCGCCAGCAACCCAAATCTGCAACCTAGAAGGTCATGACGCGTCTCTGAGTGTCAGAGGCATAATCAATGGAGATATGCTTCGTCTATCTGTACATGTGTGGAAATTTGCTGTGTTTATCTATTCCTTAGCCAATGACAATCATTCAACCTGTAAGCAATGTCATTCAAAGCAATCTTAGACCTTGGAAATGGTAAAACTGCTGTGATCTTTGTAACTGTAAGTGAGGCGGCCTACGAACTCATGTGTGATTCTTGAAGCTGACTTCTGCTGATGAAACTGCAAACTATATTCAGTAAAACTTTTCTTTAATTTTTTATAATTCTGACTCCGGGTCTTCATTCTTCATATCTGGTTCTGGGTCTTTGACCGTCAACCCCTTACACGCGAAACAGCACGCGCGCCAATACCCAGCGAAGAACACAACATGCAAATATGGACGCAAACTGTTTGCACGATGAGTTGCTCGGAGAAAAAAAACGCAAAAAAGAAAAAATACGATTTACCCGGTGACCTCAACCCATGCCTTGCTCTGATTGGCTGTTGCTCATGACATCACGTGAGGTTGAGTCGTGCGAATGCTCTGGATATCTAGCATTCTGGGCTCAGCGAGGCGTCTGTGAGCGTCTTTGATGTATCCTTCGCTCTTTCATACTAACAGATAAGCGAGCGTTCATCGCCCGCTAATCCCCCAAGATTTGCACGCGATAACACTGTCGGTGAGCTCAACGATTTTGCAAATCGGGCTTAAAATCATGTAACGTTAGTGTGAACTAGGCTTTAGGAATCGGGTTAATATTGGAGAAGCTTCCAGTGCTGGAGAGAGGTTAGAGAGCGGGAACCGGGAAGGCCTGAAAAGGTTGCGTTGTTTCTGCTCCACCTGAGTAACATTGGCTTTGCTGTGTTTTACAGAACCAAGATATACTTTGCACGAGCTGTTTAGCATTAATAATAATTAGAAACGTTTCTTGAGCATCACATCATCATATTAGAATGATTTTTGAAGAATCATGTGACACTGAATAATGATGCAGAAAAATCAGCTTTGCATCACAGGAATAAATTACATTTTAAAATATATTCAGATAGAAAACAGTTTTTTAAAATTGTAATAATATTCCACATTTGTACCGACCCCAAACGATTGTAAAAATCCTTCAAATCATCATATTTTTGTAACATCGGTTTGGAATCAAATGATTGAGCAAATGTGAACAAGTATCCCATAGAGCCACACAGCTGCCAATTCTCATGCATTGGCCGTGAGACACACGCATTTGATTGATTTCACATGCTCACACGCCAAACCACCGATTTCTCACGCTGATGTGTCAACCCGGTCGGTCCCCCCTCCCGGCCAGAAATAAAATATTTCCCTCCCCTTAAAATACTCACCATAGCTGAGGATAACATGTCTGTGTAGCTCCTGCTGCGGGTTTATTAGAGTAAACGTGACATTGAACGCTGAATTCTGGGTTACGTAGCTGCTTTTTAAGTAGTACAGCCCTTCATCTGATGCAGACAACACCTCGTCCTGATGGTCAGTGAGATTCTGACCCCCCGACCCCTGCCACAGGATCTCTGGCATCGGGTAGCCCTCCATCTCGTACTGGACCGTCACATTGGAGGATTTGAGATGGATGCTTAACCTCGGCTCGGAAAAGAAAGCTTGAAGACACAAAACATGTACCAAATCAAATACATTCACTCAAATCTCTCACATCTCAAAATCTATTTGACTTGGTGGTATATGCATTACTACAGAATACAGAATTTCAGTGCTAATTGTAATATTACAAAGTAGGATGGTCATGGAATAGTTCACACCAAAAAAGAAACTCCTGTCATTACTCGCCCTCATCAGTTCCAATTACAATTCTGTAACTGGAAAAGCATACGGGTTTGGAACGACATGAGGATAAGAACTATTGCTTTAATTTGAATGGTGACTACTAGTGTTTGGCAGAGTTATTACAGTTAAAGGTACACCATGTAACTTTTTTTGTTCAAAATTAACAATAATTAAATGACGAGTCAATACATAATCCATCCTTATTCCAAAATGTGTTTTTTTTTTTTTGTCTTACCTTGATTCACTATGGTAAGCTTATAATAAGTCTTTATCCCCCTGGCCTGTTTCACAGACAAGGCTTGAGCCCATTCCCAGACTAAAATGCATGTTTGAGATGTTTTAACTGAAACCAACTTGCACTGTCTGGCATAATTTAAAATACTAACAGTCAGTGTACAGGAAATACTAACAGTCAGTGTACAGGAATTTTTAGGGGCAGTTTTAGGGACAGGCATTTTTAAATAGATTTACACAAACTGAGAGAGTCAAAAAGCGTTAGGTTGTGCCCCGCTCTATATGAAGGACTGAGAATAACAGGGTCTTTATTTAAATATATACACACAAAGAAGTTAAAAACTGAAATATAGCTCTCAATCACCTTAACTACTACTAATAATAACACTGAAAATCCCTATATCAATGTCCCTATCAGTATCCTATCAAGTCACAACATAAATGTCACCAAAACACACATGAGAAAATACCATCTTTTTTAACCTTTTGGCTTCCTGTTGTGCACATTCAGTTGTGCTCGTATTCAGATATGATGGTACATATGGTAAATGGGCAACTACGCATGATTTGTAGTATGATTGCGTAAAGGGAACAGGAAGTCCGGTAGGGAACAGAATCGACTGCTACACTGGTCGCGTGCAGTGCTGCAGCCACTTAAACAGAGTTTGCCCTCCTTCCCATACTGACTTTCACTTTCGGTGCCCGAATGGAAGTGAATGAGGCTTTGCGATTTGTGATTTTTTTTATCTAGGCCTATGTGAAATTCTGCATCCATTGTACGATTTATTTATTTATTTAATTTTTTTTATTCATTTATTCCCCCTTGGAAGGGCCACGAGTCGAGAAGGGCATATAGACAGTTACCCGGGCAACCTCAGGCAACCCCCCTGTGCACATCCCTGTCAGTGCCATTGTTTTGTCTTAAGATGCACATCAGTAATGTTTTTTCTAAGCTACTTAAATGTCCTAATTGAACTAAGGCCTAATCCTGGCCCTGTCTGTGAAACCAGGTGTTAATTTTGGACCGGTCTAAATATTTTTTTGTGGGAAATTGCGTACATATGTCACTCAAATGTGTGTGTTGTCATATCCGTAATTACAGAAAAGTTGCTCCGGCTACTTTGACGCTTGTTTAGTATGGGAGTGGCAGAGGTTCGTCACAACGAGTGAGAAAGGTCGACATGGAACAGCTAAATCTCAAACCTCATGGAGATTTCACATTTATTAAATAAAAAAATTCTTAACAAAAACAAAAAACAAACGAGAGTCTGGCAAAAAGAGAAAGCGACAGTTCTCATAATAAAACAAGAATCAACATTGGCTTGGCTTTTCGGAGATGGCGAGAACTGAGGCATTTGCCATATGTCGCTCTCTAACAGAGTTCATTGTAAAGCATTATCTATTGTGAAGAGTCATTTCATTATGTTTGTTGTAGCGCTGTGCTGGAATTCATTTTCAAGGATGTATCGTGTCTATTAATGGGTAAAGCTAGTAACATCTTCAGCTTGAGATCATATCCATCTAAGCACAACCAAAACTATTTTTATTTAATTTAAGTTGACGTACAAACGCAATTAAAACTTAGAGACGTATATAGACGTATTTGAAAAAGCACAACAAAATCACCTAACTTAAAATAAAAAGAAATTGAAAATATTAATAACATCCATAACAGTATATTAAAAAAAAAACTAAAATAACGCTGGCACTTACCTGCGTAGACCAGCTGTAGCTCTCCATTGCCAGTTCCCTTGCCATTGCTCACTATGCACTTGTATTTCCCTGCATCTTTCAGTCCAAAATTGGCTATACTCAGAGATGCATTTCCTTTGGCAAGTTCATTGTGATTTAACTGTGTTCGATTAATATAATCTGAGCTTTGTCGATCGAACTGGTCCTTCCCGTAGTAGAAGCTGTGAACCACTCGATCATCTTCTTGCCGTTGCCAGTTGACCACCAGATTAGAGAGATTTAAGTCTGGCTCGAATTCACAGGAAAGAAGAGCCGTTGCTCCACGGGCCACGACCACAGGACCGGGAGGGACTCTGACCGAAAAGGAGTCTAGGAATGAGAAAGAATATATATTTAAAAATAATGATAAGGAAGCAAAACTTAATATATTTAATGGAAAGACATTCAATGCCTGTGTACTTATGGTGCGTTCACGTGCTATGGAAAAATTGATATTTTCCACTTGTGAACTGGTATTTACCAGTGTGTTGTGTTCCAAGTGCTTTTGTAATGTGGTAAAAAAGATGGAGATCCAGACCTGTTATTTAGCTAAAACTATTTTAGATTGCTTAAATCATTTTTCCTGCTGTAGCAGTTGACTTATCAAAACGCTAACTCTAGGTTTTGGTTTGGTTTAGGATGTCAATACGAAGATTACTGCGTTTTATGCAAGTCGAGTAGTTGCAGTCAATACCAATATATGTCAACAAAGTCTCTCTGAGGTGTTTCCACAAAGGCAAGGCAAATTATTGATATAAGCAAAACAAAATGATTTAACGTAAAAAACTAAAATATAAAACTTATTCCACTTCTACGAGCATCCAGACCGCATTAAGTCCACAAGGTGGCAACAACTTCTACATACAGTACATTTCCATGATTTTTGCAGTTGTTTGTGATGAATGCATAAGGATTTTTTTTAAACTGATCTCATGAAGTAGCGTGTGTATGACACGCCAATTCGTATTTCCATTTTTGGCATGCTATCAAGACGCATAATCGCTTTTCAGCGTGTTTATGTACGCCGTTCACTTAACGTTATTACTGTATATATAAATATGTGACTTACCTCAACCCCGTCCCTAAACCTAACCGACACTGGGGTTAATGGCATTTATGTTTTTATGCATTTATGTTATGTTGTAATTTCTAGGCAAATATATATATATTTTGACCATATTCTGACCATAACTACAAAATAACTTATCTAAATCATAGATTTAAGGGAAAAAAAAAACAACAAAACAAAACAAAACAGGAATATTCATTCCAATGGCCTTTCCAAGCCTTGGAAAGAAAATAAATCACCATATAAATACATTCCTAGATGTTTTCCATGACCATGGGAACGCTGGCTCTTTGATAAGAATGAAATACAGTTTATTGAGAGGCGATTACCTTCGCCTAGAGGTGCCTTATTGTTTTAGTCTCACAATAAAGCACACATAAAAAAAAAAGTTGCATCGGACCAAATGCAAATATATTCTCTTCAAATCTCCTGTCAGCTATAAAAAAGCAGGTGTCAAACCCAGCCATCTCTGAAGCATACAAATTCAAAAACGAACGTGTAAAAGTAAACAAAATTCCTTTCCTGATCCAGTGTGGTACAAAGACAATGGTGTGCTTTTCTCTGGGAAAATGGCATCTACTTCATTGAAAAGGACAGGGCTCGGCTTATGTTACAGTGCGAAACGACTGCCCGATGGCGACAGCACCAAAGTCTCAACAGGAAAACAACTCTGTATAACACCCTTTAATGGAAAAATCCCATTGTGTAATACACATGACTAACTCTGCAAAGAGACCAGTGCCGTTAAAAACCCGTTCGCCTGGGGAAGAAGCTGTGCTTGGACACTGTTCTGAGTCTTCTTCCATGGCAGTGGGCAAAACAATCCAGTAGAGAGATGGGTACTATTCATGCTTGAACTATTTCCACCGCTGCTCCGTTAACCCTCTGGGGTTGTTCGGCCCAAATGGACCCGAAGAATTTAATTTTTTTTTTTTTTTTAAATCACAGTTTCCTCGGAATGGTCCGAAATTTGGTGACTTTGTTGGTATTTGAACACCCAAAAAAATTGGGGACAGGATGTGAATAGTCTAAGTGGTTGTAAAAAAAATAGTCACACTTGGGGTGTTCGGGTCCAAATGGACCCGCATGGAAAATGAATGGGAAATTGGCAAAAATGTGAAAATACTGAGTTTTTTTGTGCGTACAATCTACAAATCAGCCACGATCTTGAAAAAAAGCACACAACAGTGAAGGGGTGAATCTATAAAACATCAAGAGTGCAAAACAGACACATCCACACACACACACAAACACACTTTTATACACAAACACACCAAAAAAAATTCAGATTATACATGTGTTTTGCATTTTTAAAATGCTCAGTTTGTCCACCAGATGGCATCCATCTCATTTCAAAAATTGCTTTTATGAGGCCTTGGCTTGACTCTAAAATGAAATACAGCTTTAATATATATATATATATATATATATATATATATATATATTAAAATATTTTTTCTATTATGTTCAATGGGGGAAAATTTTGTCATAATTATTGCATTAATACTAATTATAAAAAGAAAAATATTTTTGAAATTTTCTCAAAACACCAAAAAAGAAAAGAAAAAATATTATAAAAAACGAGTAAAAAAAAAAAATGATGATTTTTTTTTTAATATGAATCCCGCCCTTTGGGTCCATTTGGACCCGAACACCCCGAGTGTGACTCTGAAACGAACAACCCCAGAGGGTTAATATGCGGGTGGAAAAACGCAGGAGATTTCCTAAAGTCTACAACCACTTGCTGACGTTAAGGGAAAGATTGTGGTATGTGCACCGCTACACAGCTCAAGGTTACTCACCTCCTCTCTGTACACTGTCTCTTTGTCAAGTAAGATTAGGCCAACCACTGTTGTATCGTCAGTGGACTTTTTGATATGACTGTTCTCATGCTGAGCATTACTGTCATTGGTGAGTTGCGTGAACAGTAATGCGCTGAAAATGTTTCAGAGCGAGAGAGTGTGATGTATTCTCGTCAGGGATGTAGCCATAGTGAGGGGGACAGAATGTCAAGTGTAATACCAGTTTTTTTTCATGAGAATTTTGTTGACAGATTTTTGCTTAATTGGCTTAATAAGCTATTTATTTTTAAAGCAGTAAAACAGAAATACATAAAGAAAGTTGTCCAGTACTTTATATTGCAGGGTTTTTCCTGGCTTAAAATCCTGATCATGCATTTTAATAAGATAAAAAATATGTATTTTTCGTAGATCATCATGCTTTGTTACCCACATTATTTTTGTAGGTGGATCTCGGTACCTCTAGGGGGGTCTGCCCCATCCGTAAGATTTTTTTTTTTTTTTTACATTTTAAAGATAAATTCATGAATCTGGTGCACTTTGAGTCCCCCGAATCTGCTGTTAAAAATAAATAATGCCCAAACATATGATATTCTCCGATTTAGATATCTGATCATCGCATTTGTATTACTGCATGGTATGGAAATCTGACCTTTCAATCTAAATCAAAACTAGCATGCCCGGTGCATTCAGCTGTAAAATAGACTCCTGTTTCCTCAGAAGCTCCCCGCTGTGGTGTAAATGTTGGCCTGGCACAGAGCTTCTGTTAGTTGAAATCACAGCACTTTTATAAGCTTTTAACCACGTCAGGGTTTTTTGCTGATATAGTACATTAAATGGAAAAATGACTGCAATTCTGTTAATCGCTAAGGTGTTCAGAATGGGTATGGAGTTTCTACTTGGGTGTTTCATGTCCCAAAAGAATCAAGGATATTCTAGTTTTACACTCTTTACATTTTTTTTAAAGCAACAGCTGTGTTTTTACAGCAGTTGCTTTTTTCATTTCCCAAAGAATCCTTCAGTAAACAATCCTCAACGGTTACACTTTATTTCGATAGTCACTTTAGACATTCTACTAATTATAAGTAACTTTTCAACTACCTGTCAACTAACTCTCATTAGAGTGTTATTATATTATAGTAGACTGTCAGTAGACTGTTAGGTTAGGGTTAGGTGTTAGGCTTTGGGTTAGGAGAATAAGTTTACTTGTAGTCGCCAAGTTACTTATTGTCAGTTAAATGTCTGTTGGGGGACCAACTAAATAAAGTGTTAGCAGATATTAAGCTGACAGTCTACTAATACTCTAATGACAGTTAGTTGACATGTAGTTGAAAAGTTACTTAGTTAGTAAAATGTCTAAAGTGGACTATCAAAATGAAGTGTTACCTTCTCAACTAAACCATTTTTTCAGGTCAGTGTGTCAATATTTGAAATTGACATTTTCAAATACAAATGTCACTCTTAAAGGGATACTCCACTTTTTTTGGAAATAGGCTCATTTTACAACTCCCCCAGAGTTAAACAGTTGAGTTTTACCGTTTTCGAATCCATTCAGACGATTTTCCGATATTTAGAAGAATATCAGTAACCAGACAGTTTCTGGTCTCATTGACTTCCATAGTATATTTTTTTCCAACTATGGAAGTCAATGAGACCAGAAACTGTCTGGTTACTAATTTTCTTCTAAATATCAGAAAATGGATTTGAATGAATATGAAAACGGTTAAACTCAACTGTTTAACTCTGGGGGAGTTGTAAAATGAGCCTATTTCCAAATAAAGTAGAGTATCCCTTTAAAATCTGATTAAATTTCTGAACATTTAATCTTATGACAGGTTTGTTTACATCCACACGCCCTGCGGTAAATATGTCAGAGCCCTAAACACTACATCTTTTGCGTTTTACGGAAAGCTGTACTTTGAGGAGCCTTGTATGCCGGTTCAAAGCTCTCCTCTGTGTTCTGTTGACACATCAGCACAGTGAGGCGTTGCTCATTTTGAACCCTATAACTAGAGATTAAACCTCCTAAAGCCTGCCAGACGCAGCTGAGTTTGCAATTTTTTGCTGACATTTGAGTATAAATGCTCAATAAAATACTGTTTTATATAATCTGTTTTTAAAAGATCATAAGATACATAATTAATGGGATGGTTCACCCAAAATAAAAATAATACCATCATTTTATTACACATATGCATGGATCCGAGAGTAACAAGCATGTAGTTTGATGGTCCATTGGCAGAAATTTTGCCAAGCAGAGGTTCTTTTTCTTTTTCCTCATTAAAACCGATTATGTTTATCAGTGGTTGTATATTAAGCATGGACACATTTGTGTTCATTTTCCTTTGTGATTTCACCGGAACGAAATGTGCGTGGCAGCGCGAGCCACAAGAAAACACTGCATCCACGCCACTCATCGCAGAGTCAAGCACTTTGATCACTTGATTTCAAAAACAACATAT